GATTGGAAGTGAATTTTAAATTTAGTTTTTTTTGATAATTTTGTATTAAACAATTTAATATATCTAAATAAATAAAATTTATTATAAAATGATTTTAAAATTTTGTGTTGCGAGATCAACGAAGTTGCTGCGCCACGAATGCATAAAAAAAATGATTGGCACTGCGAAATTATTATACACAAATTCAGTTAAGATTCGATTAATTGAAATCAAAAATCGAATTGTCAAATCGAATCTTAGAAACGATTAATCAAAACTTTAATCGATTCTCAAGATTCGATTTTCGATTGAATCGATTCCAATCCCTACTACCTGCTACCTTAAAATTTGATAAATTTTCCACATGTCAATATGTTAAAAATAAATAAATATTTCAATCACAAATACAATAAATGGAATATAATCAGATTTTTAAATGAATGTGATTTAGAACCGTTTGATAGAAAATAGATGAATACCTTAAAAGTCTTAAAAAGATTAATAATGAGAAAGGAATGAGACAAAAAAAAGCAAGCCAACTTCTTGATAGCTATCGGAAGGCATGTAATGACTTTTTTTTAAGAATAGTGACGTGACGATCATAGGCTTCTTTGGCCTTTCGTCATTCAAGACTCTTTGCTAAGCTACAAACCAGTGTTAGAGCACAAATAACCTCTTTAATTATTTGATATTTAAGGCTCTTTGCTGATCTAACACTGGATCCATTGGGATCAGGTATTCTTCTTGGCTACCTTATACTCAAATGGGATGGAAACTGAAATAAATATGAACAAGAATTTTACTAATTTTCAAATATTCTATGCTAGAATCCTAGACCAGATTATAAAATCACAAAGTCATGGGAAAATGAGCGTACACGTAAACAAGTTCACCTACACCAGCCAATAAATGGAACTGTAAATGGAACAATTAACACAGTTAACGGAACAATAAGTGAAGGGGAAGTTGGAATCATTAATGAATAAGAAAATCCACTTCTCAGAAGAACACCGAGAGAACTCTAATTTTTCAATATCTAGTTTTGCAATGAAGAAGAAGAGATCGATAAAGATGACGATGAAGATAACTATGAAGATGACGATGAATATGATAACAAAAATAGTGACAAGGATGAAAAGACCAGAAAGAGAAAGAAATTAGAGAAAAAATTGATTGAAGGTTTTAAGTTGAGGTTTGAAATGATAAGTATGGATGATAAATGAAGGCTTCCTTCAAGCAGATTTGTAGAAGATGTCTTGTATAATTGGATAGCGACTCAACATTCTGAAACGTAAATATGCTACATTTATCAATTGATTATATTGTTACCAAACATACTTACAATAAACTAATACTCATTTTGTTTAAAGACTTGCGCATTCTTTTATACTTGATACAGACTGTCAAGAGGTTATGGATCTTTTTAGTTTAGAAGAAAAAGAAATAATTATGAATACTGATAAATCATCTTTTTCAGATGTTGTAGATGATGTTAAAAATACATCATGAAATATCATAAGGTATTTGTTTAATTAGGATTGACTAAATTGTACATATTTACATACAAACTATATATTTTCACAGAAAAATGTTAGAGATCTTTGAAAAGTTCTCATGACACCATATTTGAAAAATGGGGAGACATATAATCCAAAGCTGCACTATGATAAAGAATGGATTTATTTAGTATTTAATAAATTGTAAGTTACTCTTCTATGTAATGTTATGATTCTTGGCTAATATTTTTCTCATCAATATAGTGCTATTGAATGGAAGCAAGGCGCTAATGCATTAGCTGAAGATAATTTAGAGGCATGGATTGTGAGTCATGTTTGGACCTTTGTTATTGATATGGCATTAAAAGATATTGAAGAAACAAGAATTGGAAAGTATGTAATGCTTAAACACATTACCATATTCTTTGCAATATTAGTTATTAACTACGTGTTTCTATCTTATAGGTCAGATGGTAGTTCATCTGCATCAAAAATAAGAAAAGAAAATCAGAGAATCTGTCATTCGTATAAATAGACTTTAAATTTGTAACTTTATAATACAAATAGTTTAAATTGATTTTTTTTTAATATCAATAGGGTAGAAAAATCGATCTATTGCTAAAACTCCGTAATAGTTCAAAGGAAATTTTAGCTGGAGAAGTTGCAAGAACAGGAGATATTCATGATAAAAAGTACTTAGAGGATAGAATGAAGCTATTAAAACTTATGAAAGATATGCTCGATTTAATTACCACCAATAACAATTAAAAATTACAGAAGTCTGTATACGTTCGGGATACAACTTTTCAGTAAGTAAACATTATTGATATTATATGCTATATTGAATAGCTTTGTCACTTATCTCTCTTATTGCTTAGAAAATAAAGGTATTATTTATATGATGGATCGCCCTGGAGAAGTTGTCTCGCGATTGACTAAAAAAATCAATTTAGAAGCATCAATATACATTGAAAATCTCTGTAATTTAATTTTATCAATAATTACAGTTTTAGAATTAAAGGTAATATTTTAATATTAAACTGTGTATTTTTAATGTATATATTTATTCATCTGCTTTGACATTTCGCAGAACACATTCCGAGAAATCCTTAAAACAATAGAAAAAATAGAAAGTGATGAATTAGAAACTCAAGTTTTTAGGAAAAACATTATAGGAGTTCGATTACCATTTGCAGAAACAACACCAACTCCTAGACTTTCTCTTGAAACAAATAAGTAAAATAATAGTAATTATATGTGTTTAGATCACTTTGATTATTTTCAAAACCAACCAAATAAATTTATGCAAAGAATCAAAGATAATATAAAATCATCAAATAACCTATTCACTATAAAAAATGATCAGAAATGATTACAATATTGAGTTTTTTTTTCTTAGAAACAATCTTGATTATGTGCCATTTGTTAGAGATTTGTGACATTTTCCTTTTGTTTACTATAAATTTAGTTTTTTGCCTTTTTAAATATTTTGTTTGTAAGAATTAGTTATCTTTTTAACCTTGAATTTAACATTCAAATTAACAAGTACAACCTTAGAAGTCAAATTACTTCTAACAATCAATAATTACATTCAAATATTTCTGGAAAAAAGTAACTTTCAATACTTAATAAATTCTTCTATATTTATATGAATTACAATAAATAAATAATAAAAATACATATTACATATACAAGTATAGAAAGCATATGTTTTCTGATACTCTTAAAGAACTTAGAAAGAAATATGATAATAGTTATATTGTTAAATAAAGATCAATATTCTCCAGCATCATTATTGTCTACTAGTTAATATATATTAAAAATGTGTAACTTGTTTGCAAAAATAAGCGAAGAATTATGTTACATAAATGTACTGTATGTAACAATTAAAAATATTATGAATATATTTATATTTTATTATATATTATCAAGAATAATACATAAATTTTAGTAGATGTTACATTGTTCTTTGATTGGTCTTTCTCCATCTCTCTTTCTCATCTCAATTATACAAAAACCTACAAAGTGAACATAAAATTATATATATAGAGATAAGTGTATATGAAAAGTAATAAATATAATAGTTCTAATGAATATCAAAAAGCAATTGATTTTTTAGAAAAAGGATGTAATTGTGGTTGCTCTTCAAGAATTCTCAGGGAAAATTTTGCAGAATTAAGGGAATCCTTTCAAGCCCTTTCTAAGTCTGAACAAGACATATTTTTAATGGCTCAACTTAAAGCAATGGATAGTGGGTCAATAAGCACTAATAGATGCTTTAAGAAGAAAACTAGATCTAATAAAAGAACTTTCTATTACTGGGATCATAATACACCCCTTTGTCAAGAAACTTATCTCAATATGTTGGGAATTGGCAGAACTTATTTTGAAAATATTAGAAATCATCTAATAAACAATGGTCTTCTGCCAAGAACTCATAGTAATATTAAAAGGATACCTCAATAGAAAACTAAAATGGTGATTGATAAAGATATTGCTAAAGTAGTAAAGAATTTTCTAGAAAATTATGCAGAAGTTCATGGATTACCAAGTTTAGGAAGAAGTATCAATAGAATAACTCAATCAATTGTATTCTTATCAGCTGAAATGAGTTATAAATCAGTACATAGAGACTTTTTGGCTGGTTTAGAAGAAGATAGCAAATTAAAATCCTTAAAATATGATGCATTTAGAAAATTATAACATCAATTGACACCAGAAATTCAAATTATGAGTCCAAGGACCGATCTGTGTGATACTTGTTAACATTTTAGAGATAGTTTACATTACAATGCTTGCCATGAGGAAGAAGCTAAAGATTTACTCAAAGATTTAAAGAACATCTGTCTAAAGCCAAAGTAGAAAGAAATTATTATAATAAAAAACCAAATTAGCAGAAGAACAAAGAAAATTTGTTAATCAAAATTATTCAAAGGGTAAAATACAATATTGCAGCATTGATGCTACTGCTCATTATAGTTATGATTGAGCTCAAAATGTTTATGTACCACATTTAGATTAACAAGTAAGTAAAATCTATTACCTTAGTTCATATAAAGTTCATTTATTTGGTATTCAAGATGAAGCAGTAAGGGAACAAATTAATTATATTCTTAATGAAGATGAAATTATAGAAAAAGGACCCAATGGAACTCTTAGTATGATTTTTGATGGAATTAAGAAATTGAATAGAGGTGAAAAGCATTTAAAGATTACTTGTGATAATGCTGGTGAACAAAATAAAATAATGTAACAATTTGGTTTTATTTATATTTGGTAATTTGTGATTATTACAAAAGCATTGAATTAAATTTCATGGTTCCTGAACATACCAAATTCAAATGTGATGGTAGTTTTGGTTTAATAAAAAAACTCTACAGAAAAACAAGAGTAGATTGTCTGGATAATGTGATTGATGTAGTAAAAAGATCTAGTCCAGCAGAATTAAATAAAGCTCAATGTTATGAAGGTGGAAAAGGTTTTCAATTCTTAGATATTAAAGCTATTTTGTGAATTTATTTTAAGAAATTACTAAGCATCCAGAAATATCAACATTTTCTTTTTGAAGCATCTAATTTTGGTATAGTGAAGGTTCAAGAAGTTGCTAATGGACCTTTTGTTGAGTTCAATTTATTAAAAATCAAGAAAACAGATATCTTTGAAGAAATAAGAGCTTTATCTGTTTTATCTGTTTTAGTGTTAATACCACCTCCTTTGGATTACAAAAGGCAAGAATATCTTTACCAGAATATTCGCCCATTTGTAAGGGATGAATTCAAAAATATTACTTGCCCAAGACCAATCTATACCAGAAATGAATAAAATATTTAAAATAAAATCACCTTACATTATTAGTTAATTTGTCTTTTACTGTCATTAAGTTTAATAAGTTTAGCTTTTTCCACCTTTAAAGTAAAAAAGTGCTAAAATAAAATTTATATACTTAATATATCATTATAAAAAGGATATAAGTATAGTATATTAAAAGAATAAATAAAAAAAAGGAACAAACAAGAAAATTATGACAAATATCATAAATGAACAACAAAAAGAAAATAAAGAACTATTAAATAAAATAGAAACACTAAAAAAGCAATTAGAAAACAAAGAAGATGATATTAAACTAAGAATTTGAAATGCTATTGACAATGTTAAGGAAAATGAAAGTCCAGAAATTGCTGGAACTTTAGTGACCTTAGAACAACATTTTTTTGATCCAAAGATAATTGAGTAAATATTCAAAAAGAAAATGGAGTTGAAAAAGTTATTTTTAGCAACAATTTCACTCTTGAAAACATTGTTAAAGGCTTTAGTGAATGAACATTACTTAATTGTGATTCTTATAGTTATATTTATCAAAAAAATGAAAAATTAGAAAAAAAGTTGCTGAATTAACTCCTTTTAAAGAACAGGTTGAAAATTTAAAAGAATATATGGCTAAAACTCTCAATACTTACCTTAAGGAAGAGCAACAAGAAGAAAAAAATGATTGAGATTATTGGCACAAAAAAGATTTAAAAGAGTTAATAAATGAAAATGAAGATAAACCAGTTGAAGTTGCTATTGAAGTTATTGAAAAATGGGAAAAAGATGCTAAAGACTTTGCTGAGGCATTAGATACAGCTGAAGAATGAAAAAATTGACAAAAAGGTCTTTTGAATGATGAAATCAAAGAAAAATCACTAATGCTCCAAAAGTCTGATAAAATGCTTGAAGAGGAAATAACAAAGAATGCAAAGTTACAAGAAGAATTAGCCCAAAAATTAGAAATGTTAAGAAAGAATGATCAGAGATTTGAGGATGAAGCAAAAGAAAGAGAAGAATTAAAAACACAACTATATTTGAAAAGAAAACCCTTACCCTCTCTTCCTAAAGAAGTAGAAAGTAGGACTTTAAATAAACAAAGCATTTTCAAGCAATTAAAAACAAAAACAAAAGCCAAGGTTCAGCAGTTGCAGAAATTAATCAAAAGAGAGAAGTTTCACAGTCAAGCAATTGTCACTAAAATAGAAGTTCTAGTTAAGTAGTCATGAGAGAATTGCTTTACACAATCTTAGATTTAGAAGAATGACACAGCAGTAATTCTGCTTGTGTTTTCTACCCTGGTTTAAAAAAAGCAGTTTGTCAAATCAGAACGCGAAGCAAAGCAACTGGTGAAATGGTTGAAAGTGATAAGGCTTGTGAAAACTGTAAAGAGAAGTTTGAAAATGATAAATTGCCTAAGTGTGATTGTGAAAGGTTAAAGACTAGATATACTTGTGATTGCAAAAAAAGAGGAAAATGAAAAAGAACTTCCTCTTTTACCTTATCAAAATGGAGGAATGGCACTTTTTTACAAACAGCAAATAAATGGCTTGCAAGAAAAGGAAAGACAGTTAGAAGAGGAAGTAGATACACACTTGGAAGCCTTAGAAGTGGCTGAAGATTGGCATAAAAGACAGAAACAGGAACTATTAGATCGAATTAAGCAATTAGAAGAAGATAATAAATAACTAAAAGAATTAACTCTGCAAGAATTATTAAAAGAAATCAATGATTTAAAAGCTTAATTAACCCAGTTACAATAACAGAATGGTCAATTAACTGTACAAATTGAAATTAAAGAAACTAAAAAATGACCTTGATTGAAAATAAGAAAGTAATTTTAGGTATTTCCTTTTGTATAATTCTAACTATCAAAGAAAATGATAGTTATTTTCTTTTAAAGATTTTTGCTTTTTATTAGGTAATAATATATCATCATGATGTTTTCTTTTTCCAACATTGATTATTTTTCTTTTTTCTTGATAAATTTCATAAGTAATCCTTTCTTTTCTTAAATAAGTTTCAAGTATCTGAGTATTATTTATTTTGAAAATATAAGGAGCAATTTTTTCACCTAGTTCTTTCTTCAAAATACTTCTGATAGTACTATAATTCTTGGGTTCCATAGTAGATCTAATGTAAATGAGTTTTATATTAACTATTTTTATATAGATTTAATTCTATATATTACTTAAGATAGCAAATGAGATATTATAAAACTGTTAATTATATAATCAAATTACAAATGACTAAATTTTGGACCCTAAAATCATTGGTAACAACAATGTTCACTTTGTCTGGTTTTGTTGCAATATTCCCTATATATAAAAGTATCATTCACAAAAAAAAACCTTTTATTTGTTTAGCTTCAAATAATTTAAAGTATCAAATTTAAATAAATTATAAAATCATATGATATTACTAAATGAAAATGTATCAAATTATATTAATTATATTATATTATTTCATTTTTTTAAATTATTATTTTATGTAATTTTTAAAATAAGCTAAAATAATAAAACCTAAATATTTTAATAATATATTTTATTAAATTTATTTTATTAAATTATTAAAATTTTTAATTAATTACTTAATTCAATTTTTTTATTTAAATATAACTATAATTAAATTATCACAAGATTTTTTATCTTCAAATAATCTAATAAATTATTAAATATATATTATTCTATATCATATCCTCTTCTATTTTTTTATTTTTTACTAAGTATTCTGAAGAATTAAAATTTTTTGCAGAATAAAATCAGATTTGTTATATTATTATATATCATTTAAATTTTCTATTACTTTTAGAAATATTGGTTTAATAATTGAAGTATTCAAATAACTATTATGATATAACTATTTAATTTTAATATTTTAAAGTTTTTGTATTTGTTTATAAAGATTATATAAAAAGAAAGTATTTTTATATACCTTTTTTTATTAATCAGTTTATTACTATAACATGTTAAATATTTTGTATTCCTGTTATAAAGTATTTTGATTAATAATACTATTTTAATGATTTGATATATTCTTATAATATTCTTTAATAAATATAATCATTGACTATAAAAATCTTCTTTAAATATATTATATTTTACATATGAAATCTCTTTATAAAAACTTGTCAAATTGCTTATTAAGTTTACTTTATAAGTTTTTCAAATATTCTCTTGTATATTATAAAAATATAAAAAATCTATATCATAAATAATTTTAAAATAATGATATAATATGATATTTAAAAAATAAGGCTATTAGTATATATTATGTACTGTATTCATAAAAAAATCCATTTATATGATTCAGTAGTTTTATCATCAAATAGTAATTAGATTATTAGTTAGATCTTTATATTATTATTATTGATTACTAATCAATAATCAGAATAATTTAATTTTTAAAATGCTAAAAATTGGTTAAAATATAGTCTAATTTTTGCTAAGCATTACCAAAAAAATCAGTATATTAGTTATAGCTAAAGTTACTAAATACAGATACCATTTAATAAAAAATTATTATAAATGATTGATAGTTATTTGGATAAATAGAAAATCAGCTATCAATTAGCAATATTAAAATCAGCCTAATATCAGCCTAATCAGTTATAGATCAGCTTAAAAATAGCCTAAAATTAATAAAGCTACTATTTATAAAATCATAGTTAATAAAACACATTTTTTTATTTATTATTACATAATTAAATTAATAAATATATTTACAATATATTTGATTCAAAAAAAGATACAATTGACTTTTTAAAGATAAGAAAAATAAAGAAAACAATTAAAAAAACCACCTTTGATTTACTTATCTTAATATATTCCTAAAGAAACTAAATAAAAAAATAAAGAAAAGTGTATCAGTATGAAATTTATTTCTATCTCAGAATTTGACTGTATCTAAAATTTGATTAATTCCTATTTATTTTGGCAATATTTTTTTTGATATTACATTATGTATATTATGTATCACAATCTTAAGAGATTACTTTTTAAATCTACTTAATAATAACAATATATATAATTCTAATGATTCAAATGAAGAATTAAACCGATATTTAATTCTTCATGTAGTCATACAGAATTTTTAATATGGTGAAAACTTCATAGAAAAGACTATCTGATACTCTTTATATAGTTAAGGATTATTTATCAATTCAAGCAATATAAGTTATATCTAAACTAGTCTTGAAGTTTCTATATACTAACTGTTACTTCTCTATACAGAAATTTTAGAAGATACTTTTAGGTATTCAGAATTAAATTTTCAAAATATAATTCTAATACCTTATCAACTGAAATCTTAGAGTAGAATGAGTTGATCACTTTATGAATACTGCTTTAGATGATTTCATGAATCTGAAATTTTAATTATGTAAATATTCTGTTATAGAACGCTGATTACTTTTTGCCAAAAAAATTTGCTTAATATTTATTGACATCTATACAATAAAAATATAATATTATAGTATCTGATACAGTTAATTGTTTATTATTTATTTTATAAATAGTAAATTTTTAATGTATATACTCTGCTGAACCGACCTTTCTGAGGCTAAATTGCAGGAATATCATTAAAAAAATCAAACTAAATTACAAACGCTTATTATCATTTCTTACAGTAAATTAGATGCTTCTGACAAGTATACAATTTATTTCATTCCTATAATTTTAAGCAAAAAAATTTTAACTACCTTAATCATTTGAATGAATATCTTAAGATGTCTTTTTAAATAGCTATTACTTGAATGCATATGATGAAAACTTCTTCAAGTTCATCTTTTTTAAAGTGTAAGTTAATCCAAAAAGCATTTAGGCAATCTTTTATAATTATTTTGATCTTATCATGCTCTTCTCGAAAATTTGTATTATCTATAGGTCTCTTAGTGTTTCCAATTTCAGTTAGTAACATTTCTACTTTATAGCTTCATAATGATATAATTAAATCTATTTTTTTTGATATTAAATTTGGTTTAACTTAAATATTATAGCAAGTTGTTTAAAAATTATTGCAATATAAAGATTCATTTTACCAATTAAGTTTGAAAAGTCTAATGTTAAACTTTTCAATCAAAAAGCCAATTAGACTAAAAATTTTAATAATATAATCTCATTCTCTAAGTTGCAGAGTTAAAACATTGATCTTTCTTCATAAATAGAGATGACTAAATAGAATTCAGTTAGTATTAAAATCTAGTTATTTTCCATTTTTATTCCATTAGAATTATATGAGCCTTTGCAATAGAAAGGGAGAAAACTGTCGGAAAAAATCAATTTTATTTTTATATATTAAATATGACTAAATAAATACTTAAATAAATTATTTTATTATTTTTAAAAAGTATAAGAAATTTATTTTTAAAAGTTGAGAATTGACAACTAGAATAAAGCAAACATTATTTAATATAGGATAATTTAATTATCAATAGCTTCAAACGATTTTTTATTTAATACTGTCGTGGAAGAATTTTTAAACTAAAATTTATTTGGATAATAAAAGTATTTATTTTATAGTGAAAATTAACACTTACAATATATTTTTAAATAAATCTTATTATTATTTTCGCGTGAAATTTGTTTGATAATTACCTTATAATAACAAAAGAAATTAAGGAAAAATAATAAAGGTATCTTGAGTTGAAATTGACTGTAAATAAAAGTGGTACAACAAAAAATTGAATCAAAAATTTGGTATTATATAGTCCTATACTGGCTGAAATTTTAGACAGTTTGCATCTATTATATTGGTAAGAACAAAATCACAAAATAATTGTATACTTTTCAAAGAAAAAGTTTTAGATCTGCTGAACAATCTAATAAAATACTAACTAGAAATAATCTTAGAGCTTTTAAGCATGATCTGCTTTAGCCATGCGATAATATAGATATTGTACAATAATTATTTACATTGGTTAATGTCACAAAGTGACATTAACTAATATAAATAATGCATCATACAATATCCATAAATTAGCATAAAAATTTTAAGATATATTTTATTAATCATCTTAAAGAATTATGACCACATCACAAAAATCTGTATATGCACTATAACTTACAATTGAAGCATTTGATGCTATCCTATATACAGTCATACCTCTCTATAGCGAATTTTTATATAACGAATTTTTTGGACAACTATATTAAATTTACCCTCGTTATAACGAACTAGCCAATCAAATTCTTTAAAAAATTCACTATAGCTCTATAGCGAAGTTGAAGTTCAGGACATAAAATTCGTTATATTAAGGGTTGACTGTATATAGATCAAACTTTGAGTATATGCAGAAAAGTTCGAAAACAAAGTATATGCAATTACTTGTTCTTATGATACATGATATTTGTCTAACATTTAGCAATAATCGAGGAATATTAGTCTATTCTAGTCACATTATTAGATCATAAATGAATCTTCATGATAAAAAATTACATGAGTATTCAGATCAAAATTTGAAACTAAGAATAAACATTTAAAAGACATCTACCTGAATACTTTATACCAAAATCTATCTTCAGCTATAATATCACGCGATGACTATGACATTTCCTTATTAGTATCATATGTAAAATTTTTTATTAATTGTATTTTACAAAATAGTGAAGATTCAATCTAAACAGTAACTATGCAAAGCTTCATTTTTTGAACAGTAGCTTGATCATGATCTCTCTCTCTCTCTCTTTCTCATTTTATCACTGCTGTCTTTCATAACCTAAATTTCATCAGCATGAATGACAACTTAGATAAAAAATTATTCACATACTTTGCCAAGTATTATTATATGCGAAAAATAAATATATAATTTAGGACTACAATTGTGATATATGATGAATTTGCTAATATTCTATCCTATTTATCTGTTTTAACTCACAAGGATTTTTCTGATATAAAATTTTACACGACCAAACATTGGTTATATATGGTTAAAAAAAGTTTAAAATAAAAATAATTTTATTTGAGTAATTAGAGTTAGCCAAGAAACATGGGATGAAGATTGATCTATAGCTAGTAGCGAACCTGTAGATAATGCAGAAGTAGCGTCTAATGCTAGAGGTGGTTTTCCTGCTATTACTATTGCTTTTAGTATTAAGCTTGGTCAACTTCTATACCTGTTTAGAACTTATTATATAACTGTTGAACACTTAAAATACACGGCAGTTTTTGGTCAACTCACACAAGGTGATATGTCTATTGAGCAATTCTCCACTAGAATTAAAAAGATTGGTAAAGTAGCTGAAATGACTCCTAAACAGCAAAGAGAGCAATTTATTCGTGATCTGTTCCTGATGAATCAATATAATCTTCAAATGATAGCCAAATTTCATGATACATGGGATAATATTATACAAGCTCTAGCTGAAGCAGAAAATTATATATTATCTCAAAAGAACGCATCATCTTCTTTTCCAATTTTTTCAGCGGCCAATCTATATATAGATACTAACAAATCAGGGATGACTAAAAATGAAATCGAGAGTTTGGTAAAAAAATACAATGGCATCATTAGAATCTCAAAAGCCTCAACAAGTGATTTTATCGCAATTCCATCCACAACCTGCGGGTACGCATAAAAATTTATGAGATGAGAATATAGGAAGATTTTTATCATAGATTACGGGAGAGATCCCAGATTTTGTTCCTGTTCCTAATCCCACTTTACCACTAAAGCCAAATAAAAAGGTTGTTATTGATTCTAATGATGAACTTTCTGAGCTCACAAAGAGGCAGTTAAAGTTATATGTGGCTAAAGCCATTAAAAAGGCTGTAAAAATACAATATAAATATTCTATCAGTGATAAGACTGGGCATAATTCTCGGAAGAAGAAAAAGAAAAACAAGAAGACTAAAAAAGGTAAAGTTAATCTCGCTACTTTAGATCTGGCCTCAGATTCAAATTCAGATTCTTCTGATACTTCATCTAGTGATAGTTCTGATTCTGATTCAAGTTCTTCCGATTCTTCTGATTCTGAAGGTGAGCTTAATGTTAATATGGCTAAGATAAAAAAAAGTAAAGCAGAAGTCAAACTCTAAGAAATCTAGTTCCAAGAAATCACCATCTAAGAAACGCTCTAAGAAAAAAAACAAGTCCAATAGTATAACACCTTTGGCTAAATCCGCTGAACAGGTTGATAAAATAGATTCCGAAAAGCCAACAAATAGATCTGGTGAAGCACTCTGAAAGAAACTATTTGTAAAATTTTTCAAAGTGAACTTAAATTAATTTTTCCTGCATTGATTTCTCAAGACTCTGTTTTCGATTCTAATAAATCTAATATACCAAAACAAGTGCCTTCTATTCAGGATAAAACAGAGTTTAAGAGTGATAAGGCTTCAATTACCAAAGACATTTTATCAGATCTAGAGGAGGAAGAATATTTGGAGAATCTAATAGAAATCGACTTTGTTCAAAGAAAAGAATCTGCTACAGATATTGTAACGGTAAAATGTAAAATCAATCGCTTGGTAATCCCAGGTGCTGTGGTTAATCCTGACGCTAATTTTCTGATCATGTTTCATGATATCTCTAAATGATCAAAGCTAGAAATTGATACAAAAGAAAAACATGATCTTAGAGGTATTGCTACCATTCCCACAGAATCCCTCAGAATTGTTAGAAATGTCCCAGTAAATTTTGCTCCTAGATGTAATATATACGCTGATTTTGCTATAGTTAAATACTCTAAGCTAATGCTAATCTTACCTAATACGCTTCTCGATAAATATAATTATGATTTGCTTGCATCAAAGTGAAAGTTAAGACTATAATGTAATGGTAAGGAATTTTTTATTCCAATCAATATGCATAAGATCAAGAATAAGCTTGAGGTGAATTGCATGAACATTACTCCTGAATGCGATGCTTCCTTAGATCCAGATAGAATTTCACAAGACTTGCAGGACTTGCAGGGCTTAAGTGAGAATAACATATTAAAAAAAAGAGAGTTATGAAAGTATGGCAACTTGTATAGAAGAGCTTGAGAAGAAGCTTTCTAATGCTATTAAGTTCAATGCGGAAATTAATGAGTTTTGCAAAAGTCTTCTTAAGGAATAGGCGAGTTATTTTCAGGATAACGCTTCCTTTTTTCATCTATAATTTTGCGCTTTTTTCAACCATCTTTTCATACAATGCTCAAATTTACACTATTTGTATCCTTCTCTGAAGCCTGAATTGGTTGAATCTGAATACTAGATGATTCAGAAATCTGAATAAACTTCAATTTCTTTCTTCCAGTCTTTTTTACTATACCGTCTAAAATAATAATCCTTTTTGAAGCCAAATCAGTAGATTTACTAGGTTCTATATTACCATCACGTATTTGTTTTTCTAATTTTGCAAATAGAGAAACATCTTGCTTGGTCTTGGATCTCAGGCTCAGTCTGCCCACCCATAACATTTATATTAGAAAGCGAAGCTGTTGGCATATGAATTGGTTGATCCCACATAACCTTATTTTTTTCTTTACCTCTCCAGATTTAATAAATACGTTTTTGTAATGTGTGATATTTATCTGTTAAATCCTTTAAAACTTCATCTCTAGGCTTTTTTTCAGCATATTGCATAATAAAATTGTAATCAGTTAATAAAAAAGAAGGGGCATCACATCTTATGCGTCGCCTAAGCATGGTAGCAATATTTTTTTATATCTAATATAATATTCTGAAATAATTTATTAAATAAGATATACAGGAAAAATGTATCATTCTGAATATATAGAATATACAGGATAAACAGGAAGAATATATTTTAGATAAATAGGATATACAGGATATACAGGATGTACAGGAAAAACATATTCTGGATAAATGGGATATACAGGATATACAGGATGTATAGGAAGAATATATCATTCTAAATATATAGAATGAATGTATTATTATGGAATTTTATTCGTATATTTTTTTCCTACTATGTA